TATCTTTTATCAATTAAGTCTTTTAACCTTTTCTTTGAAATACTTGAACTTTTGATCCATTAATCAAATTAACACAAATATATTCTTACCTATAAGGTAGATTTGAAGTGTGCAGAAAGAAATCGTTAATAATTGTAATTGGTTGCAATAAAATATAAATGTTTTCTTGTGTAACCTAACAAACGGCTCTTACGTAAGATTTGTTTTATATGAATGAAACTACTTTTTACGACTCGGCAATAACACTATTTGGTAATCAATTATCGAAGTAAAACAATTCACATATTCAGCTATAACTTTAAAGCTTAATTGCTTCCAGCTTCTAAAACATTTGTGCCCGATTTCAAACTTATTCCAAACGATCGGAGTGGCCGAACTTAAAATACACTTGTACTTTGCGATAAGCTTGTACAAAATCCTAAGCCCTTGCTTTGTTTAAACTTGCAATGTACTTAGAGACGGTACAAACTTCAGATCATTAATTTCGAATTCTTAAGAAATTTGTAAGAGATTCGTTCAAATGACTTCTTTTAAACTTTTAATGGTATCTATCACAACAAGAATATCCAAGAACGATGTTCTTATGCATTCCTTCGATGTTCCAAGTTCGAGCCAATCGTGAATCTAAAGCATTTTCAACAGAATTCGAGCACACGTGTGTTTTTGAATACAGTTACTTGTACACAGATGGCCCGTGTTTTATTGTAATGAACACGAAATCGTGACGACCCATAATGTTTCAGTGTTCAGTACGAATTGGTTACGGAACGTCTTCCTCGTTGTGCAAATACGTTTTGAATTAAGGTCATAACAGAATAATATCGATATTGAAAGAGTGAGAAGTCTTAAGGACATGTACACAAACAATTTAGGAACATCAATTTAATTCTATTTACTGCATAGTTTTTCATTGTTTCACTTATTATTAGCATTGCTATCAGCAACGCTACAGGCATAAGTTTTGAAATAAAAATAATACGCTTTCAAATCTCGTGTAATATCTGGTAATATCTGATGAGGTTGATAAATTGAACCGTATTACGAAGTACGTACATTGAAATAAACATATTCAAATAGCATCACTCAATGTATGTAGAGATGAGTTAAAATCACGAGTTAGAACTTCTTCACTCTATGGATTGTGAAAATTAAATTTAAAAACGTTATTATAATTGATGAATAAATAATAAAACTTAACTTGTCGAGTGATGGGGTGAAGATATTATAATCACGGACCGACCGCTTGAAATGCAACCAGGTCACGACACTTGAAAAGTACATGCGACCAGATTCAAATGTAGTGTCGCCAAGGCTTTCACTTTGAAATAGAACCTTTTCAAGATAGCATCTCATTTACAAAATAAAAGATGTCCCTTACAGCATATCAACTAAAATAGAAGTCTAATAGTGACTTCTAAATAAAAATTTACCTTTGAATATACGTAAATATCTGACACGTAGCTATAAAGTGTGTCATCAGTGTCAATTCATCACTCGCTTGTCAATGTTATCTCAGTTTTTATCCCATTAGCTCCAGTGCGTTAACCTTTTTGTATTAAATAATGTTGCCTGTACATTAACTAGGTGTGACTTTCGTTATAGGTTTCTACACGCTAGCACTAATGAAATATAAATAAAAATAAGCAATAACGATGTACGCAAAAATAATCTATTTGATATAATTTATTCTATCAGTAGTTTTGTACTTTATTTCTCAAGCAAAAGATTACAAATTTGCAATAATAATTGCATGATTTTATTGCACTATAACTCAGTAGCGATAAGATAAGGAGTTGCGTAAATGTATCCAAAGTTATGATTCTTCAAAACATCCTGATGAGAATGGTCCCTTAGATAGACATTACCGCAAGATAAACTTCATATAGCAATAACCAATAAGCTTATTACAAAACTGGAACAACCGATATGTAAGTCTATTAGATGGTATCAATTACTCAAGTATCATTTGAATAAAAACGATATCACAAGACATTTAATACATATTTGTGACACTAAGATATAAATTAATATGCGTTTACGTATTATAAGTTACAATAAATAAGATTACAATAGACTTATAATAATATTTAATAGTAGAAGTAATACGATACAACAGAAAACTAATTGTATTCCGTAAGAAAAACTTCCGCGTCTTTATAATATTTACATAATTCTAATATGAAGGTAACCTAAGTTATTTTTAGTTACAGAATTAAAACGAAATAATGTATGCATTTGTCCCTTAATTTTTTTTGTTTTTATGTCAAAAACAGGGCGTTTTATTTAAGGAGTATTTTTTTAATACAATATTTACTTTTACCTATACCTACCTTTAAATTGAAACTCAACATAAATAAAATTTCTATATTTGGTTTCTATAAATCGAAGTATATTCAAATAAATTCTTCAAAAATATCAAACTAAAAACGTTGGAGAAGACAATAAAATATCAGACAAACATGAAAACAGAGGAAATGACACGGTAGCCCAAGTCAGCGACCTACTTGACAAGGCAGAACAAATGCCGTAAAATACTTGTCAAAGTGCCAAGTTTAGCACTGTATCAAGAATATCGTGGACTCGTATATATAGCAAAGAAACTAAAGTGCTAGATTGACTCTTCTTGACCGCTTTGCAGTTTGAACTATTAACAGTTTTGGACGTTAAATATAACGAGCTACTGACAAACGATAGTTTGTAAGTATTATACAACTTCTAGTATAAAATTAGGACAGCATGTTATTTTCATTATATGTATAAAGAGAAAAAAATAATGTTTATGATTCATAATGGTTTTAAATTAAAAAATATTCCATTTTAATTTTCCCTTTACAAAGCGATTTTTACGGAACGATAAGAAGCCAGTTTAAGGAATATCAGTTGAATTCGTGTAACAAATTGGCGTCCCTAATCATAAGAAGAAAATCCTCTGAATCCTCGCAAGATAATAGATATTCAAATCGAATTAAGAATCTGCATTTTGATTACTGTACACAAATTTTAATGTATTTTCCTTTACACTTTTTTCTTAATATCAAATGATTATCTTTACAATATGATGTTGCCCCAAAATGTTGTTATTTTTTTTATATTTAGAAATATTGGCAATATATGAAATAAACTCTTTAAGTTATTAGTTTAATGGTATATTAATTTATATTGTTCTACGTAATATTCTGAGCCTTTAAATAATACAAAGAAAAATGTACAACCATCACGCGATTGCCCAAAAGCAAATTGATTTATTATTAAAGGTTCGACAGCATGATGTATTTACTAATAGCAATATTTCACAAGAGCAGGCAAGTTATCAATGAAAAAACATTAGTTTTTACTAGGTTTTAATCATGCAGTGTAAATTTTAATGTTAGAAAAAAACAACATAAAATTACTTTACAAGACTCTTCAATTCTTAATACACTAAGTATTTTATAATGTTAGAGGTTCTTGTTAAATATGCTCATCGTATAATTTTTATTTCACACATACAGTATTCCGTTCACTTGATGGCTTGTTGTATAAATTTAAAGCAGACTAATGCATAATATTTTAAGATACGTAAGTACGTGCTTCAATCGTCATACGTGATGTTACAATCAGATCTTAATTAAGAGAAATGTAATATAAAAATGTACAGCGTGCTCATTAATTGCATTAATTAAAGAATTTTCGCATGACAACCCTGAAGTAGTAAAAACGTTGGGGGTAATTGGAGTGAGAAATTCCCCACTACATAATAGTCGACACGTTTTGTTATGACCTGTTTTCTTAGAAATTTCATTTTAAAAGACGTGTAGCAGCCCTAATTAAGTTTCAAGAGCCTTTAAAGGGTCTAATCTAAACTCGCAAACAGGATGTATATTCTTTTGACATTGTGATAAAGAAGTCAACGATTTGTACAATCAGACCGCAACAATAATTTTCCTCTAGACTTTACAGTTACAACCTACATTTTAAAACTCATTGTAGTGTTCTTCGATGAAGCATAACAATAGTACATATTATGACCATAAACATACTGTATTTATGTTACGCGTAAAAATTTATTCTATCATCTATTATGAAGGTTTTAGAATTTTGTCTGGATAAAATAATCATTTAAATACATTGTGCAACAATAAACCATTATAAATTTTTCTTTGTTCATCAAATTGATTCAATATTTTTCGTAACGTATTAATAAAAATTACACACCTGTTCATGCACGAACTTGAAAATTCATACACTATTGACATAAGATATGTTGACATAATATATATTTTTGTATTTTCAATGTGGACATCGTTAGCACTTTGGAAAGAAAATCTAGACTAATACATGTCTCATAATACGTTCCACAAATAAATCCCCTTGACCTGGACAAACTGACGCTCAGCGAGATATGAACGAAAATGACAGCAAAACCGCATGACGTCACTAGCATCTTAGAAAACCGGACTTAGTAAATCGCTATACAAAATTTTCTCTATAAGTCATATATTTACATAACACATGATTCATAGAACCATCTAATTAGAATTTCGTTTTTGTTATCACAATTCGTAGTATAAACCTATACTTAAGCTGTTAGTAAATTAAACTATAAACTGTTACAGGAATGACTACTATTGTTTGCTTCATTACATTTAAATTGTAGGATGATATCGAAATACTAATTACTTTAGTCATTTCTAATTGTGTTTCATATTACTAATGGCAAGCCTTTAATTAAAAAATTAAGTATAGTATTTACACTGACAAATAAGTAAATGTCATTACATGTAAATTACTTATATCGGTATTAAAATTAATTTGTTTTTAACACAATTTTTCAAGCCAGCATCTTGTACTATCAATGTCAATGTCAAATTTTACTATTTAACCTAAAAATATAGAAATTAATTTGCGAATTAGGTCATGAAATATAATTTATAGCTAATGTCAATACCTAATTTGATTTACTTAACTACAGAGCATGTATCAAGGCATCATGGACGATTCAGTTTTCCGTAATTACCTACCTCTTTTTGTTCAGTCGGAGTGCTGGTCCTGACTCCTGTCAAGTCTTTCCACCTGAGGACACCCATGACTGCGTGTCGCACCCACGAGCCTCGCCTCCCGGTCCTCGCGTTAGACAGTTCATCTACCACACCACATAAAACAGAATTCACCACCAAACCCCTCCCAGGTCCATCCTTTTCGCTTTTAAGCGCCACTTCGCTAATAGGTAATGATCTTCTTTCCCTCATAAAGCCCGGAGAAGTGTCGTCTTGAAGATTTTTAACGCATTCCCATTCTTACATCACACGCATCATTAATCATCATAATCCAACATCACAGGCTAAATCGTTTATTTTTATTATGAGATTTCGGGTCACTCAGCTGCTTCTTCCCACAACTTTTATAATAGGATGAAAAATGTCCAAAGTGATTTATTAACTGTAGTAACGTATAAAAATAATGAACTTTCACTCCGCACCGGTACTATCGTCCTCCAATGTTGGTTGTTCAAAAACAAATCTAATATTTTTTAAGCACTTGAATATTCGCATCAAATGTGTAACAGTTCGAGTAACGAATCACTGTGTAAAAAAGTCCAAAATTACAAGCTGCACTCCGCGGATTATATACACGATGAATCAAAACTTAGAAAATACGATCGAGTCATACAGATACTACAGTCGAAGCATAACAAACATTACGTCTTTACACGTAAGCGTTCGGCAACCGAATGGCGATTGGCGCGTGCCACATGCTTCCACCACCGGTTAAACTAAAGGTTTTTGTATCTCTTTCTATATTATGGTTCTTCTTAACATTAGACAAGGACAACGAGTGCATTCAACTTTCAGTTGCAAGCGGTGAATAAGAGACGAGACAGGTGAATGTAGCAAAGCAAAAACAAAAGGTACGAAAAATCTGTACAATAAGAATTTTAACCTAAAAACTTTAATAAAGATATATTATTAAAAAAAATTATATTAATCTACTTATACAATGTATATACATATAGGTATAAAACAATTGCAACCGTAATATCTGTCAGCCAAATTTTGTTTACATATAGTTGAAGTGTCCAAATGGGATTGCAATAAAGGAGCGCATTTGTATGTAGGAGTGGTGCGTGGGAATATCCGGTTTGCAACGAAGCGTAGCCGCAGAGGGAGCAATTGGGACAAGGATTCAACAGGTAACTAGCGCAGCTGCTTCCGAAACCCAAAATGGCTGGGAAATCTTAGAAAGATCGCCATCCGTCGTACAAGGAAGGAAGTGGTTCTTGTTCCACTCTACTGTTACAAGCGCTTCCACATAATATACTTTTTTATGAAGCATTCGATTTTAAAACGAATTATTTAGTGTAACCTCAAATAGGATGTGGCTAAAATGTCGATTTATTCATTGAAATTCTGTTTCCAATATTTGGTTAACCGTTAACGTCAGCAGTTACGACTGTAATAATTCTGTTAAAATGCAATATTATTTATGTTTTGAAAAAGATTATTTAGTGTTTTTGTTAATTTTACGAAGCTTTTAATAGTGATATTTGACAAATATCTTTACTACGGTGATAATAAATGTGTTGTTCTGTGTAACATTGCTTAGAAAGTATTAAGATTATGAAAGACTTCTCCGATTGTAATATAAGAATGCTAAGTTTTGTCCGCGGTTTTGCCTCATCAACATACTATTAGGTACTTCTCTAAATTCTTCAGATAAAAGTCTTACTTTGTAAATAGAATATCCCATAATATATACTTTCAAAGTTTTTGGTGTCAAATAAGAAAAACCTAATTTCGGTGTCATGTAATTCATTAGATAACATATAATATGAAAAATTTACAATTAAATTAAATTCTATTATATATAACACTATCAAATTATTACGTAATTTACAAATGAAATCACTTAAAAATTTGCAATATTATTATGAAAATGTATAACGATTTTGCAAACGATAATTTGTTCTAACAAAGGGTTTTTGTATAATAAATGAAAGTTTAAATGTGTAGCATCACTTTCCAACGTCGGTTGACATAAAATTTTATAAGGCACTTAACTTTCATTGTAAGCGTTATTTTGAAGAAACCGGCATTTTCTCTTTCTACATATAAACGTAGGATGACGTGCACTGATTTAATCATATGTTATTTAATATTACTACATATATTATACACTGTAAAAGGTATAGGAGTACCTAAGTACCTATATGTCTTTGAAGTCCCAACCGTATTTTTACAGTATAAAAGGTAAAGTATGTGTCTTTAAAGTACAAACAATTTATATCTATAATAAAACAAAATAATCCAACGCGTACTCATATTATAAAACTTAGTACTGAAATATTACATAAAAATTCGATAAGCAGTATAGAATCTAAGTATAGTATAGAATCTGTTTTTATTTTTCATATCTAAAAACATAGAAACTGTCGGTATTGAGTTAACAATGTAAAATCATACAAAGGATAAAATAGTGGAACACATGAAATTATACTATCCGATATGTGAACGTAAAAAATATTAATAATAACAGGCTGTAGATTTCGTTTACATAAATCTGAATCATTTAGTTAAACACGACCGTAATTAAAGGATTACCATTATAATATTAGAGAGTCGTTAATATTTCAACGCTTTATAATCTTATATAGTCAATATTCAATTTAAAAACATCGATTAGTAATAAAAGCTGTGAAATTTAATAATGGAACAGAACTTTGTAATGTCTTTATATGTTGTCTTATCTTTAAAGATAACAATTAGTTATCTTTTGTAGTAAAGGTTCTAAGAATTTGTAATTATGTCGCACTACATTAGTGAACTTCTGTATCTCGGAAACGATAAGACTTGTTCAAACAAACATCAACCCTTTCCAATTTGTTGTTATAAACTCCTCTATACTTAGTCCGAGTTTGAATCGCACATCACACAATATACAAAACGTATTCCTTTTCTTTTCAATTAAAATATAGATTACCTTATGGATTAAAAACTGTTGATGCAAAAATTTTACTGATAATTATTTTAATTTATGCATTTATATAAATTACGTATTAAGTTAAAGATTTAAAATAATGCATAATATTTATAATAAACTATTTGATTCTGTACTTTTTATAAAATAAAATATTTAATAACACCATCATAACGTATCCGTGGTATATTAAAAATGTTTTTCTATCTTAAACAAAGTCACCGGCAAAAATAGTTATAGTAGAATCATAACGTGACGTACATCGTCATATTTTAATTAGAACAGATGATAAATTTCTTGGAACAGCTAGCTGAATTAGACGTCTATTTAAAAACTAGACTACGAGATGAGACCTAGAATGAGATAAATACTTAAAATAATATTATAATTAATCGTTATTAATATTATAATTTTAGCAAGACATAAAAAACACGCTTCCTGAAGGGATGATTACGCAACCGTTGCATTATGTAATCTCCCGTTTGGAGGTCGTTAGCATCGGCGTAGTGCTAGACTGCTATACTTTAAATAGACTGCAAGTTTATACAAATGTAGAGTTACATATTTTTAGATGCGCTATGTTTATTAAAACAGCTTAAAATAAACATTATTTCCAACGAAATAAAACAGTGTTACTGAACACAATAGGTACATTTCACATTCAGTTAATGAGTTGAAATGTCAAGTCTCGGCCGGGAATTGATCGTACCAATTAATACGCGACCATTGTTATTATATTGTTGCCGAAATTTTTGTTTTGTTATTGTAAATTATGTTAATTTTAATGTTTTTTTTAATGTTTATTTTGTCTGTGATTTTGTTTGTTTTTAACTATAAATTGTATAATAATTTTCAGATTGTAAAAAGAATTAAATAATTGTTTATTTATTTCTATATAAGAATGATAGTGAAAATTTACAGTGAAGTTTTTTAATGGCACTCACTATTATTATTTTTGTACTTTGTCGTATTATATACGAACATTTAGTCTTAAAAAAAACTTTTAATTCATTTGATGTATTCTGCTCCAGTAATTACATTTAAAATCAAAACATAAATCTGTTATTGCGCAAGTTATTTGGCGTACCACACTTATGTAAATTATAGTGACCTACATACAAACAAGACGAATGTAACCTCATTACTGATTTTCTCTTTCAATCCCATTCAGGGGAATCACCGGGGACAGAGTACAGATACAGTAAAACTCATCACGTTGAAAGGGTTTACATCTGTACCGGTTATAATAAAGAAAAGAAGGTTTTATATGTTTATAATAGGTACCTATGATATGAGAATTCCATATTAAAAATGCCTATGACATGCTTGTAAAGAACTAGGTCTCGTTTTTATAACGATGACCTCAGTCCTTGCCAAGATAATTCAACCAACATCCGTACATGAACGATTTTGCAGTACCACTGCAGTGTTGTCCATTGCCAAGTTTAGGTAGACATGAGACGGATTGGCGGTGTTAGAATCTGTAGGGGAGCGGGGGGCACGTTGTTACAATTTTTAGATAATTGTTAATATCACAAAAACCATCAAATAATGTATACATTTGATTGCTTTTACTATTAGTGTGTCTATTCAGCTAGTGGAATAGAATTGGAAAAATATTAAAATTTACGTAATTTTTCCCAAAATGGAGGATTAATGAAATAAGTCGATTGCAACAACTTACCCCTGACTTGGGGCAAGTTGTTACAGCTTCGGGGCACGATGTTACAGTAGGTGAATAAACAAAAAGAACAATAATAAATCATTTACTTTTTATTATTTCAAAACGTTATGAATAAAAAAAACTATTTTGATCAATCTTATAACATTTATGAGCAATTATAATATCTATATCGTAATTTTCCAACTTTTTAACAGTAATAATCATATAACTTTGGCAGGAACTTTCTTAATCTTATAAAACACGTTTTCTTTACGGAATTATAAAACTTCGTCAGTAAATACCAACATGTAATAAATTATTTATACTTTTTTAACTTGGCACTTTAGTCAAACTAAAATCTAACATTTTTAAGACACTTATATTGCAATAAAATTTATAGTTACGTATACAATACTGTATAAACAGTTTTTTTGGTGTTGGCCAGTTTTTCTTCATACTCTTTTTGTAATGAGTCTTTTTCAGGTGTGTCGGTTAATACACCGGACTTACGTTTACGACGGTTATGGATGGATTGTTTTCGAGACTCTACCTTGGGAAAGGACCTTATTTTTGAAGGCAAAAAATTTTCAAATGTACTTTGTATACCAGATG